GTGGCCTGTTACAAACTGGTCAGGGGGGATCAGAAGGCATTGGGGGAGTCACTGTTCCCCCAAGCACAGCCAAGAGTGACCAGGAACAATGGTCACAAGCTAGCAGAGGGTAGATTTAGGTTAGACATCAGAAGGCACTATTTCACGGTCAGGGCGGCTAGGGTCTGGAACCAACTTCCAAGAGAGGTGGTGCAGGCTCCTACCCTGGGGTTTTTTAAGAAGGGGTTAGATGTACACCTTGCTGGGGTCATTTGACCCCAGTACTCTTTCCTGCCATGGCAGGGGGTCGGACTAGATGATCTTCTCAGGTCCCTTCCAACCCTAGAAACTATGAAACTTTTTTTTTTAATTCCACAAAGCCTTTCACTTGCAGTTAACACATTTGCAAGTACTTTTAAGTCAGGGATTGTGTCTCTTTACCAACCCAGCCTGGAAAGCATATTGCTGTGTCCTGGCACTATGCAAAATAAATGCAAGCTTGTTTTCTTCTAGAGTAGCTATCTGGGTTGCATTGCCTGGTCACATGCCATTTGGGTACTGTGTATAGGTTACAAGCTGTCTAGTAGAGCTAGATCAAAATAAGGGATGAGGGACTATTTTTTGAAAATGTTCATGAAATTTCAGCCCCTGATGCTGTAATTGTGCCAATATAGCCATGTCAGCAGAGCCCGCTAGTGGAGACACAGCACATGCTTGCAAAAGGCTTTTTTTCTGCCAGCGCAGCTAAACTATTTCCCCAAATGACACAACCCAAGCAGACAGAAGCCCTCTTCTGTTGACAGAGCTGCATCCACATGAGTGCTTTTGCCAGCATTGCTCTGTTGGCTAGGGGTGTGTGAAAAGTTCATACCCTTAACTGATATAGCTATGCTGGCAAAGCTTTGCAGCGTAGACCAGACCTTATTATTTGGTATAATTCAGGTAGCTTAAGAGGTCGACACCTTCATTGCCATACTAGGTGCTATTAAACTCTCGATATTTACTTTTCATGTTGGTAAAATCTGATTATGTGATTTAGAGTATTCCTTGTACTGCGTATAGGGAATACTACATGTAGAGCAACACACTAAATGTCACTGTGCAGTAATTGTCTACAATTGTAATAGTGACTGTCCTGTAAATAAATAATTATCTAGAAATTATGGGTCCAGAATGTATGAGCTATCAGTCAAGCTGAAGACAAGAGAAGCTCTGATTAAGTTTGTATTTTTGCACCTGCCTCTCCTTGCTTTCTACTGACAAATTTGATGATGTGTAAGACAATTTCATTTTTTTCTTTCAGATAAAGCAAGACATTCCAGAAGTTGTACCAGATCTAAAAGAGCTAGTAAAAGAAAAATTTACTGCATTGGAGAGCAGAAACAGTGACTCTGACCTGCAGAGACATGAAAAATATAAACATTTTAAGGAGCAACTTAAAGACATGAGAAAACAGTGTAAGTTGTCTTTTAAAAATGATGGTTATGCGGAGATAGAAAATGGCTCTACATATACACGGCATTTCAGTAGATGAATAAATTGTTTTAAATACAAAGCAGCCAAACGCAGTTCAAACTTTCATATATGCCCTTCTTATAAGACTCATTTAAAGTAATTTATCGTTCATGCAGTTAGCTTTCTTGCAATGCTTGTGTTATTTGCGTACCTATGAAATGAAAGTCTTGCTTCACATCCTTTTTATTCCAAGGTGGGCTTTTTGTTTTAAATGAGGCTGTTTTCTCTTAATTGATAGGATCTTCTGAAAGGATTAGGTAAGCTGTTTTCATTTGTCACTTCAACAAATTGCTCCTGTTTCACAACTTAGGATGTGTTGCAACCCTAAAGAGACCTTTGCTTTTATCATAGAACTATATTGTTGGAAAATGCTTACTGCATGTGTTCTCAGGTTTACAGCTTCTGCACACGCACCATGTAACGCTGCAGCATATTAAAATCTATCTCACTTACTTCATGTTGAATCACGAAGCGGTAAAATTTTAAGTTATTGTGCTTGTGCTGCTGAAGGAGCTTGTGAGTTGGCAGTTCTTGGTGTTTATTGGTATGAGACAACAAAATATACTTTTTACTGTGCACTCAACATAAGAGCTATTTTAAAAAAAATCTTTCGATAACTGGCTCTGGGAAAACTCACAAGTCCTAAAATAATATGTCAGGTCCTTACCCTGTCAAATTATGATTAAACTTTAAAGTCACGTCATTTTGTTTTACATCCCTTGACCCCTGTCCCTGTTTCCTCCCCTCCCACCCCTGTCCATTTTGATTTCAACATAAACTGGTATCTCAGGAACTACAAGAGTCACAGATTAATGATTTATGCTGTTGGAAGCTGGAGATTCTGGCTGTTTTCACGTGGTGTAAAATGCTGTTTTTTGACTCTTACTATTCTGGAGACAAATCCAAAAGCTGATTAAAATCAGTAGAATGATTCTTCTTTTCATTTCAATGGGCTTTGGATCGGTCCCTTACGAGTTGTGGCTTGAGAGGTAGGTGAATTTCCAGGCCTTGATGAAACCTTGTTAAGGTGAATTTTAAGCCTGATATCTCACGATTTGCCAGGAGTAGAGCTGAGTGCACTTGTATCCAGGCCTTACAGTTGGCAAGGTGCTGGACATCAGAACTAGCGTTGGTTTTTCAGCTGAAAATTGCTCTAGGTACTACTCCAAGAATAATTACAGCAAGGTTCAGACCACAAAATAGGGTCATTTTCACTCCCAACATAACCATAACATTATTGCTGCTGCATCATTATGTTGTAATTCCTAATTCCCAGGTGTTTGTAACTCAGAAGCTAAAACCTTGATAACTGACACTGCATTTATTTTCCACCCTAAAATTGCCTATGGAAGGAGCATTTATCTTAAATATATGTTTGATTTAGCCCAGAGATTCCCAAACCTTTTCATATTGCGTACCTTCTTCCAGCTTTACCAGCTGCCTGTGTATCCTTACCAGCATATGTTTTTTATATTTTAACCCTTTAAATACTAATTATTATTATAATGAAAATTGAATCCTCCATTACACAATTTCTCCTGTGTATCCGCCAGAGTGTCTTGTGTACCCCCTAAGGTATGTGTATCACAGTTTGGGAACCCCTGGCTTAGGCCATGGTACCAGTGTAAGGAGCAGGACTGTTGGAAGTTCCCTAAGTTAATCAAGAACAATAAGAATTACTTTTTTTTGAGGGGAGTATTTTATTATTGTAGCTGTTGAAAGTCAAGTTGATGCCTGTTACATTGGCCTTTTGGATTTTTGCTGTGATTGTGCATTGCAGGGACATCAGTGGGATGTGCCTGTTGATGCTGAGTGGGCAGCTGTGCTCTGTATGTAGTTTAATGAGCAGTTGTCGGTCTGTAGTCAACATGCACATAGTTTTCTGTGGGGGATCCACCACATTTAGCATAATCCAAAAGGTTGAATGAAAATCGTTAGATGACCTTGCTTCTTGCACATTTCCTAGACCAATGGTGTCCACCTCATCCAGGGGGTCGGGGCCCACCCATGGGCTCAATCCAGCTCATGGAGCCGTTTCATCTGATCTGTGGGGCTCCCCATGGATCTGGAAATTTGGTGATAGAACGGGCTGTGGTAGTGTTAATTGTCATGACTCAGGGTGCCATGGCAATTAATGCTGCCAGTGATCATCTGCTGCCAAATTTCTAGACATATGGAGAACCCTACAGGCCAGATGACATGGCTCCATGCATGAGATCAGGCTTGTGGCCCACATCATGCTCATCCCTGTCCTAGACCATCACAACTACAGGAGCTCAGATTATAAACTCTTTGGAGCAGAGACTCTGTCTATCTATGTGTTTGCAGCACAGTAGGCCTGTGATCTTGAAAGAGACACCTAGACATTGCTGGACTATCACATATTTAAAATAATAAAATGTGAAGACATTACATTGATCACCTGCAGAGAAACATAAAATATACCAAAGTACAAGAAGAACTAACCTGTTCTAGAGAAGTTGTGAAGAGCCAGGAAGTTCTGAGTTGCTATATCAGCTCTTCTGATGTCTGGGGGTTCATCCAAAAATTGTTGAAGTCTTTGGAAAGACATCCATTAGTTTCAGTGGGCTTCATGTCTGTTATGTGCTAGTTGTTTACATCTATGTCGAGGACTTTATGGTCACCCAGGTAAGTATTCAAAGTTATGTTGTATGTTCATTCTTTAACTTTCTTCCTTTACAAGTACATGATCCTCTAAACATGACTCCAGTAATACAACATAGGTTATACCTATAACCTCAGGTATACGTTATAAAATTGTTTTCCATAATTTTTCTATTTTAATAATTTTACCGGCAGCTGCTTGCTGTATATATTTTTTAAACTGTCAGCACTGCCTTTCTTAGGCACAAACAGGAAGAATTCTCACCCTGTTTCAAACAGTGTAGACACATAATATGTATAGCCCAAGTTCACTTGCGCCTTAGAATTTGGTTTTATTGATAATTCAAATAACTATATCAAAATGTAAACTTCAGTCAAAGATTTCTCTGGCTTGGCTGCTTCTGGCATTTCCTGGCATGACCTCCTCTGACCCAGTCCTTACCTTTGTGTCTCAAAGAAGCAATCTCATGCCACTTATGTCCTTGTTGGAGTTAAATTAATCTGTCAGCTTGAGTCACCAGTAAATACACTGCATCTTTACGCTGGATTTAACAACTGAATTCAGGATGGCTCAGCAACAGTCCTGCATTCACATGCCACCCTGTTACAGTTGAATCAGAATATGACATACACACACGCACACACTGCAGAAGATGAAGTGGTTAAATGCAAGGTAGCT